TGTTTTAAAATCTTTAACTGCAGACTGTATGTAATGTTAACTGGAAGAAAAACTAAGTCCATTTATAAGTAATATACGGAAAACAGGAAATAATTTTTACAAAATTTCCTTCTAGATACTAGCTTTTGATCATAAACAAGCTTCTGTCCAAGTTTGGTACAAATACAGGATAGTTTAAGAAAGTTATTAAAATTTTTAATACTTTAAACACAGAGTGAATGTAATGTTAACTGGCAGAAAACTAAGTCCATTTATAAGTAAAATACGGATAAAAAGGATTTTTTTTTTACAAAATTTACTTTGGATATTATCTTATAATCATAAACAAGCTTCTGTCCAAGTTTGGTAGAAATCCAGGATATTTTAAGAAAGTTATTAAAATTTTAAAAACTTTTACCACAGAGTGAATGTAATGTTAACTGGCAGAAAAACTAGGTCCATTGATAAGTAAAATACGGATAAACAGGATTTTTTTTTTTACAAAATTGACTTCTTGATACTATCTTATGATCATAAACAAGCTTCTGTCCAAGTTTGGTAGAAATCCAGGATAGTTTAAGAAAGTTATTAAAATTTCAAAAACTTTAACCACAGAGTGAATATTTGTGGACGCTGCCGCCGCCGCCCACGGAATGTAGGATCGCTATGTCTCGCTTTTGCGACAAAATTCGCAGGCTCAACAAAAATGGCAATACTTTAACATGTAAACTATGCAAAGCATATAAAGTCAATAAACCATAACTGATGGTGCAGGGGCGAATAACCTTTGTGGAAATAATAATTTTAATACTGATAAAACTGCATACCAAATACCATTGACCATAATAAGTGGTTCCCTGTAAACTGACCTAAACACAAACATAAAGATGTAAACTATGCAAAAGTTTCAAAATCAATATACAATGACTGAGGAGGCATGACCAAATATTCTCTTTGGAAATGAGATATGCCAATGCTAAGACAACTGCATACCAAATATCATTGACCTACCACTAGTGGTTTCCCTTATCTGACCTAATAATGAACTAATACATTGTTGATTGCAGCTGTTTTACACTTAGTCGAGGTGAGACAAAAAAGGATTGCCATTTTGGTTGGTTAGAATTTCATTATGTAATAAAATTTTCTGTTGTAAACTATTTTTTTAGTCAAGAGAGATAATATATTTAGATAGACAAACATCTTAATAAAATTCTGCTTCCTTGAAGTATAAAAAATCAGAATAGAAAGGAATAAAATTCATCAAGTACAATATACAAACCACTTTTTTAGTTCTTTTTTCATAAAATGTGTCATTAATGATATATTATAACACCAAAGCAAAGTACACATCTTTAATTTCTTATAACTTTCAATGATTGTTTATAATAAGTAGTTCTGCATTGTGGCAAGTCTTCAAATACTTCAAGGAGCACATCTGTTAAACAATCGTGTTTCACTTACATAGAAATTATATTGCTTATACTTTAAATCATTCAAAACTTGCTTTATGACCAGAGTTACATAAAATTAAGTAACAAATATTGCCTTGGCTTTTAACTTATTTCTAATAATAGGCATATTTTCCATTTGATATATCTTATTCAGTTCATCTTTAAAATCAGCAATCTCACTGGATTTTGGTGCTATATGTATTCTTTCAAATTTACTATAGACTGTATACCTCAACCTTTGAGAGTAAAGAGCCAGTTATAATGCATCTAAAAAGATTGAAATTGGGTGTTGTGACTGTATACAATGTATTTAAAAAGTATCTAGGTATTTGACTCACTGCAAAAATATATGAATTTGGACTTCAAGGATACATACATCTAATACTGTAAATTCAGAAATTATTGCGTTCATTTATTATTGCGATTTTTCATGAATGGACAAAAATGTGAGTTTAATTATTGCGATTTCAAAAAAATCTGCATAAAGATCTTTGTTTCAGTTATCAAAATGCGAGTTCTTATTATTGCGATACTCACCCAGTCGCACTATTCGCATTAATAAAAACCTCGCAATAATTTCTATATTTACAGTACTAAATCTTAAATATGTCCCCTGACTTCGAAAAACAAGACACAAGTAGTTACAGATTAAGCAATTTTGCCAAAATTCATTTTCTTTATTATAAGCTGTTAAAATGTGTCTGTACTTTTTTATTTCTTATCAATAGAAACATTTACTATTCTATCTTAAAAAAAGACTCCTTGCTAACTTTTCATCATCTTGAAGACACATGTACTATTATCACCAGCGAATTGTACAGTGTGTTCAAAATTTATTATTCTTTAATTTAAGGATGCATGTACAATGATGTCTTCAAATTTACTCAGAACTATAACAGTAGCTATTGACACATGACATTGTAATCACACCCATAGCCAGGGGGGTTGGGTATGGACAAACTTCCCCTAAAAACAAAACATACTATTGAACGACTATTTAAGTCGATATTCTGATTGAAGTTTGACTGTAATTCAGAGTGACAGGACCCCAAATAACCTCCCTCAGAGACATCCTGGCACTGAGTATTCAATAATTTCCCCATTTTTTCTTTACGTGAATGATACCCACTATTTGTGGAAAACAACTTAAAATGTCAGACAGTTAAACCAAATATATTATGTATGTTTTCTTTGGTTCCAATTCAGCACTTATTTGTAGAACATTAATCCTTAAGCAAATAAGATAATTTAATTTGAAAGACAGTATGCCTTTCACAATTCATGGAAATGTGACAGAGAATAATTCATTAACATGCATAACACAGACTTGTTTTCCGTAAAATGTGATAGATGTTACATAAAGAAGAAAGTTTATCTTATTCTAGTGAAAATTGCCCCCACGAAAATTGAAAAATAGAAGAACATGACATTTTAAACTAATTCCCCATTAACAAATGTACTTTAAGCTGTTGCTGGAAACTTAAAATGGTTATATATGAAAATAAATTCTCAACCATAGACAAGGTATATGTTATAAATATTCAAATGTTAAATAAAACACATTTTGTTTTTATGTCTAAAGTTGGTTTGAAAAGAAAATATAACATTTTTTTTTTTTTTTCATTTCAGAATTACTTTCTCTTTTACTATCTAATAGCATATAGAATTGAGAATGGAAATGGGGAATGTGTCAAAGAGACAACAACCCGACCAAAGAGCAGAAAACAGCCCAAGGCCACCAATGGGTCTTCAACAAAGCAAGAAAATCAAAATGGTTTTGATATTGCCTATGTTTATAAGAAATATAGTTTTATTAAATTGTAAAATTTGAACTTAAATTTTTGCTTCAAAGTTTTATAGAGTTTGAAATATATGTATAACACTGTAAAGGTAATGTTTGTATTGCATTAAAACAAAAAATTTCAAATGAAAGTTAATAAACATCAATAAGGATAAAAGATCCTTCAGGTTTCATTTATATTAGAACACCCTTTAGGTATAGAACCACTAATTCAGCTCAGTCAGAAAGAATAAATATAAGAAAAGTAGTACATATTTTAAACAAAATATTTCCTACTCATAGCTGTAACTTTGTCAATAAGTAAAATTTTTGGGTAATTTTGGTATCAAATGAAAGCTTAACATGTGTAAGGACATTGTATATCCAGGGGCAGATCCAGCCATTTTTAAAAGGGGGGTTCCCAACCCAGTATAAAGGGGGGGGGGGGGGGGGTTATAATTCTCCATTTTATTTGGTCTCTTGTGGATAGTTGTCTCATTGGCAATCATATAACATCCCCTTATGGTTATATTAATCAATTAAGATCAGAGTTGAATGCAACTGCCATGAGCAGGGTTTAAACTCACATCATCAGTGACAGGCTGGAGACCACTGTAGATCAACTACTTATATAAAAATTAGGTATGCCTGACTTTGTTTCCCGTTTTCATGCAAAATATTTTGACTTTCAGGTGTCATGCTTGCAAAAAATCGGCCAATCCCGGATCACGCTTACACCCCAATGAGATCCACTTTATACTAATTTTTTACTGAACAAATCGCTGATGAATGTTTTAAAAATAAGATAAATAAATGGCAAAAAATGACCGTTTCTTTCTAATATCGTGAAAATTTAATAAAAATGAATAGTTTCTGTTATTACACAAATTTATCATATGTAAAGAAAATATTCCAAATGTTTTTACAAAAATCCACTTGTGTTTATCCTTTGAAACAAAAAAGTTAGGTATGTCCTTCTAAAGGATAGAAATTTCAAAGCCGCCCACATTTTGAGTAAATGTCTAAGATTTTGACACCATTCATCTCTAAAAGTAGCACATGAAGGCATATCTTTTATTACATATTTCTCTTGACATGTTTAGCTTGAGTGCAAATTTTCGAAAAAAAATCACTGTGAGATCAAAACTATATTGTATGCCCTTAAGGTAGAAGTTTTCAATTTCTTTTTAAATACATGGTTGACCTGCACCATTTGATGTTAATAAAGAAGTATTTAAAAATCTTAACAAAATACAGTGCTGCTTAATCCTAAAAACACCAAATATCCATATTTTTGTAAGATTGCTTTTAAAACCAAATGCACAATTTTAAATTTCAATTTTGTTCTGAGTATCTGCTAAGGCCTGTATAAGTCTGAAATATTAAAACTGTGGGTAACATCAATGTCTCTGCTCATATCATATCCATGTTTTATACATACAGCATTTTCTGAAAATCAGTCAGAGTACATTAATTTGAGACAGGTAGTTTTAAAAAATAAATTATGTGTGATTTCAACAAATGGCTGAAATCTTTTTCTTTAAACCCGGTATGTAAAAATTTAAACTCATTGGCTGACATAACAGAACATTTAATTCCTAAATACAGAAGAGAATACAAGCAGAAACTTAAGGATGGATACATTCTCATCTATTTGGGATGGCATTAAAAGTTAAAAACACCTATTTGGTTTTCAATACAAAAGTATTTGTAAAAATTATTTGCATTGAGGGACAGCTAAAAAGTGTATTTTTTTCTAGTTTTTTTTTTACACTAAATGTACTTACAGTTTACGTAAAATCATTCGCATCATTGCGTCAGGTCCAATCTGAGCCAATGTCAACAAAATATCCTGCAATTCTTCTTCAGCTTCTTTCTTGTCGTTATGAGATGGTACAGTACCAACTCCCTGATCGTCTTGGCGGAAACGGTAGAATAAATATTTATCCTTGAATTGGTGCTCATGACATACTGAAAAAATAAGAGATCTACCATGAGTGTCTAAGTTTTCAAAAATATACCATTTTTTATAATTTATATCTCTGTGTAATTTACTTGTAAAAACATGTCCATGACATTCTTTTATTGTACAACACATCATTTGCTATAGTCCATGACTTTGCATATGATGTCTTTATAAGTAGAAATTCATACTGAATTGCTTATGTGTTTATATGTACAAAGCAATCATATTTGTATTATATCAAGTTTTCCCTGCATCTATAAGACATTTACTGAATGTCATCAAGAAGCTTATTTTCCAGATTATCAGATATAATTTTCGTCCCCTCCAGACAATATCTTCCCCCCTACCCCCACTGCCAAAATTTAAGAAAGAATAAAAAAAAAAAAAATTCTTTCTGTAAACATGTTAGGAACAAAGTAAAAATATATTAGCATTTTCAATTTTTTTTTTAAACAATATAAAAATAAGAATACCAATGATTGTGCTACGTCAACAAAATTATTCAATAAAACAAGCTATCATCATCGGAAGTGGCAAGACACACAATTTTGGTGCTTAGATACTGTAAACCAATTTATTTTCCCGTTAAGACGTTTCTATTTGACTTCGCGGCGATTTATTTTTGCGATGTTCTAATTTCATTGATGTATTAATGTAAGAGAAGATCGAAGTTTTAACATATTCGTGATGATTTATATTCGAGTTATTTTTCTACTCGCGAAAGTCGTGAAAATTAGTTGGTTTACAGTAGTAGTTTATTCCTAAAATTTTATGTAGAACTCCTTAAATGATTTTTTTTTCAGTGATCACTAAACCATGATATCTAGGTTAAATCATCCTTTGGACAAATATCTTGTCCAGTTGATGTAATGATGTATTCAAGGATGAAATAAGAATGGGGAGGGGCTTACAATATAAATCTATACAAGGATGTGCCCTAAATATGGTGTAACTTTCGGGAAAGTTATATAATATAGGGTCTGCATCTTTAACACTATCAAGGTAGTAATGTAAAATTGGGTCATGATCTTAAAGTTTTAAAGTAAAAAGGGCTATATCTAGTGTTAAATAAAACAAACATGTAAATTTGTGGCCCCTATTTCAGTTTTAACCTAAATAAAATTTTTGACCAATTTTTTATCACCAAGTGGCACTGCTGTTTAATAAAAAAATAAAAGTAGTAACGTCACCCCCTTTTTCTTCACCTGTATACCAACTTTAACCTTATTTATACCCTCTTTTGGATATGTAAGACTTTATTATTTTTTCTAACTAATCTTGAGCAGGAATGCCTTGTTCTTCTTTATCCATTTGTAAACATTGATACTATGTCTCTATATTTTCACTTACCTCACATTGTTTTGAAAAATAATAATGCCTCCAGATTTTAAATGAAGATAAAATGATTAAATCAAAATAAATGTATCAATACAAACACTCTTCCATATAATTTACATAAAATAAATTTAAAAATTCATGTAAAAGTAAATTTTGACAGATTAGCACTTAATATATTCAGGTGAGATACTTTTAACTACTTTATCAATAGGATGATAGAGATTTCTCTTTTCAGTTAGTGATTTGTATAAGTATGTCACAATGTGAAAAGAAAACAGTGCTGATATTTCATCTCATTTATTTGTCAAAATTTTTATAAAATGTGGTAGTAGGGCGAATATGAGGTTTATGAAAGAATTTCTTTACAATGTGTTTATATCCTGTGAAGAAAAATACTATTACAGTTTCATTGCCACAGTTGATCAGTCAACCATTCTTCTATTATTATTAGACTGCTAAGTACGTCTCTATAAAACTAAAATCGCTTTGAAAAGATGTTACTTGATTCAGTCTATTGTTTGTGACTTACATTTTCAATATGTGTTGCCACTTAAACCCATTTACAATGTTAGAGTATTTTGTAGTTCCTCAGAATAATGCAATGCAAATTTCATACATGACCATTATGAGCAGGAATATTTAAGAATTTGGTTAACAGGAAGTTCAAGAGAATGAATTTAAAAACGCTTCATACAACTAAGCATGCTTACATGAAGTTTTCTACCAAATTTCAAGAAGTTCTTGTCAGTAGTTTCTGAGAAAAATACAATGAAAATTCCATATGACTGACAGACAGACAAAGAGGAAAGGGGTATAATTATTAATTTCCTGGACATATACACTCCTCATCATACAACAAAGCATGCCTTTCATGAAGTTTGCTGTAGTTTATATGAAAAATGCAATGGAAATTTCATGTGACTGACTGAGACAGACAGATGTAAACATGTATACCCCCTCCTTTTATTGTCGAGCCTGCGACTTTTGTCGCAAAAGCGAGACATAGCGATCCTACATTCGATCATCGGCTGCATCCACAAATATTCACTCTGTGGTTAAAGTTTTTGAAATTTTAATAACTTTCTAAAACTATCCTGGATTTTTACCAAACTTGGACAGAAGCTTGTTTATGATCATAAGATAGTATCCAGAAGTAAATTTTGTAAAATAAAATCCTGTTTTTCCGTATTTTACTTATAAATGGACTTAGTTTTTCTGCCAGTTAACATAAAATTCACTCTGTGGTTAAAGTTTTTAAAATTTTAATAACTTTCTTAAACTATTTTGGATTTGTACCAAACTTGGACAGAAGCTTGTTTATGATCAAAAGCTAGTATCTAGAAGGAAATTTTGTAAAAATATATTTCCTGTTTTTCTGTATATTACTTATAAATGGACTTAAAGCCAGCTGAAGGACACCTCCGGGTGCGGGAATTTCTCGCTGCATTGAAGACCTGTTGGTGGCCTTCTGCTGTTGTCTGTTCTGTGGTCGGGTTGTTGTCTCTTTGACACATTCCCCATTTCCATTCTCAATTTTATTAGTTTTTCTGCCATTTAACATTACATTCACTCTGTGGTTAAAGTTTTTAAAATTTTAATAACTTTCTTAAACTATCCTGGATTTGTATCAAACTTGGACAGAAGCTTGTTTATGACCAAAAGCTAGTATCTAGAAGGAAATTTTGTAAAAATATATTCCCTGTTTTTCCGTATATTACTTATAAATGAACTTAGTTTTTCTGCCAGTTAACATTACATTCACTCTGTGGTTAAAGTTATTAAAATTTTAATAACTTTCTTAAACTATCCTGTATTTGTACCAAACTTGGACAAAAGCTTGTTTATGATCAAAAGCTAGTATCTAGAAAGAAATTTTGTAAAATATATTTCCTGTTTTTCCGTATATTACTTATAAATGGACTTAGTTTATCTGCCAGTTAACATTACATACAGTCTGTAGTTAAAGTTTTTAAAACATTTATTAGATTCATAAACCATTCTGGATTTTTACCAAACTTGGACAGAAGCTTCTTACAATCAAAAGATAGTATCTATAAGAAAATTTAAAAAAAAAATTTCCCTATTTTTGTTGAGTCCCTGACTAGCAGCAAAAGTAGGCGAGACACTGGGTTCTGAGGAACTTTACAAATCAACATTTTGAATATAAGATTTATGATACTGACACAGTGTTAAACTGTTGTAAATACAGCACTACACATGCACATTGAAATGACAATTTAACCGCATTTATTTCAATTTGTTTCATTTTGTGTCTTTTGATGTGACAGTATTTTTCTTTATAGAATCACAATACAATGAAATTTGATTTAAGAGACACTTAAGGAAGAGCAAAAAAGTGGTCTCATAGGTTCAATCTATATGAAACACACTACAAATGGATCTAAAGTTTATGGTCTTATAACACAGGTTTTTGCTTCATACAGGTGGTCTCGATCTTTAGCAGGTTTGACTGTACTTTAAATTGTTTATTGGGACTTGATAAATCACCAAACCTTTTTTCCCCTTTTACAAAAGTATACAAAATTAAACAAAAAAGTTTTTTCTTTTCAGAAATTATTACAAACTCAAAAGTATATACATGCCTGTTATACTGTAAATTTTGGCAAAGATCAACCTAAATTTGAAGACAAGAAGGAGACACATTGACCAAGCTTATAAATACTATATATAATCTGACCAGAAAACACATTCAATAATGTTAATACAGATATTTTCTTTTATTTTTGACTATATCATGCTTAATATAAATATAATACTGTCTCACAAAAGCAAATTTCACTTTTATTATGAGAATATTTTAAGATCAAATGTTACTTATTAATATATGGCTCATAAAATATTTACAATTATTAAAAAGTACCTGTAGCTGTAAAAATTCTTCAAGAGAATAATGATCATAAAGACATTTAAAAATAAAATATGAGTTATATAAACTTTTTATTACAAATTCTTATCAAAAATGCTGTATAAAGATATGAAATAATTAAAAATAAAACTTATTGCAGCAATTTTAGTACTCAAACTTCAAATATGAGAACAATAGAAAGCTTCAATTTAAACGTTTTTAATTATTTTTTTTTCTTTTCAATGAAAAAGAAAAACACTGGAGGAAAGACGAGAAATCAATGCATGGTTAAAATTAGTAAGCAGTAGAAAAAAATTCACTCCCCTGAATGTTTACAACAATTTAAGATGCTTATAGATTAGTTATCAAGCAATTTTTAATATGTACTAAAAGAAAATAATATTTTCACAGTTTACATTTTACAGAATATTGTAATGAACAGGGGCCACAGTTATCTTCCTTAGATTTTCGTTGTCTACAAATACAGTCCCTAGTGTGGACAGTGTATAACTTGCAAATTTTTTTCATACACTTTCCAAATTTATTTCTTTATATTTTATGCATGAAATATTAAGTAAGGGGATGATATTACATGTCAAAAAAATTGGGGTGCTGCATCTTTATGTAAAGTAGTGATTTGGTCCAGTTAAAAAAGGTCAAAAACTAGTATGTCTGAAGCTGTCAAACTGAATTTTAGACCCCCTTAACATAGAATTGTCAATATTTTGAGTTAGAGCTGGTAGACTTTTCTATAATTTTGATATTATTTGTCCCAATAGTAGTACACTACACTGTAAAAATCTTTTTGAGATAGAGCAGGTGCGATTTTTTTAATTTGACTTTATTGTCTAAAAGAAATGCACTATGGAATAACTGTGTTCTCAGGCCATCTACTGTATCACTAGCCTGTAAACACTAAGTAAGGTTGTGAGTTTGAACCCCAAATGTGGCAGGTGGGTTTGACCCCATTCTTAATTGAATAAGATTGACAGTTTTCTTTCTCAAAGGTCAGTGGTTCTCTCTGGGCACTCCAGCTTCCTCCGCCAATAAAAATTGACCACCATGATATAGCCAATAGTGCTGAAAGTGGTGTTAACCACCAACAATCAATCAGTAAATGAAACGAAATGACATAAGGCTGCTGTATATCATATTTGTGTTTTTTGTTTATTGTTTTGAACATAAATGCACACATCTTCTTATTCTTATGATAATTTACAAATAGGGTTTCATTCGCTCAAAGCACTATGTTAAAACAATTACTTTACCTTGTCAATCCTTATAGTATTAAAATATGTGATAGCAGTGTTCTATGTACTAGTGTATATGTAGAAATATAACCAGGTTGGTGTGTATGTCAATGAATGTGGATATTAGATATCTTTTTGTGGCCCAGATCTGATCTTTGTATTGTGCAGGGGAGTCAACTAGGAGCTTAACTTGGTAGAGCATAGTCCAGCTTCGTTTGATATTACAGTTAATGGTCAATACAAGAGTGCACACGCTGAAATGTCTTGCCTGCTCTACAGACCATTGATTTTATGTTAAAAGTATATAAGATAAAGGTTTTTCTACAAGTATCACATAAACTTAACATTTTTAAAGATCCATGTCAATGAGGTCAAGGTCAGATAAATTCTGTCAAACAGACATGTACACCTTACAACTATTCCATACACCAAATATAGTTGACCTATTGCCTATGGTAATTGAAAAACAGAACTTAACATTGACCAATAAATCATGAAAATGAAGTCAAGGACAGAAGATTGTTTAAACATATTTTATTTGCTTAAATATGCAAAAGGGATGAGACACTAGTTAATCAAACTTATGAAGTCTTCTCCCAAAAGACAGAAGATACCTGCCAGTCAGACATGTACACGTTACAATTACTCCATACAACAAATATAATTGACCTATTGCTAATAGTACTTGAAAAACAGACCAAAGCACAAAACTTAACATTGACCAATGAACCATGAAAATGAGGTCAAGGTCAAATGATACCTGCCAGACTGACTTGTACCCCTTACAATCATTCCATACACGACATATAGTTAACCTACTGCTTATAGTATCTCAGAAACAGACCTCATCACTGATCCATAAATTGAGGTCGTGGTCAGGTGAATCCTGTCTGACGGACATGTAGACGTTGCAAGGAACCCATATACCAAATATAGTTATCCTATTACTCATAATAAGTGAGAAATTCACATGACAAAAAAACTATAATTTTTTTCAAGCAGTCGCTGAACCATGAAAATGAGATCAAGGCAAATGGATATATGACAGATGGAAACTTAAGGTATCTGCAAACAAGGTATGAAGCATCCAGGTATTCTACCTTCTGAAATATATAGCTTTACACATATAGTTTACAACGCTGCCACTGGATAGTAATCCCTATGTCTCGTATATTGCGACTTTTGTTGCAGGTGAGACAAAAACAACAAGTTATAGATTCCTGTATTAATAATTCACAAATACATATTTACATGTCATATATGAACAGATCAAATCTAAGTCAGCATAATTTGATACAAGGCTAAAATTATGAGACCTTTAAATAAACAAAACATCTACATCTTTTCTAACATAGGAAATGTCTTCATAGCTTAAATGCACTAGTTCTTTGCTTTTGACTGATAATCAAACTCCTTATTCTATTATTTAAAGGTGGTAATTGCAATTTGACAAGTATACCTAAATCCCTTATCCTGAATTAAGAAATAAATGTCTAATTACGGCATTTTTGATGCTTGTAAAATTTGTAACAAGTCAATACTCAGTTTTGATATATTTATCTCAAGCACTGAAATTTAACATTAAGAAGAAAGGAAAATACTTAAAGGTTACATCATTTTTCCTTGGTGATATAAAAATGAAATTTATGCTATCTTTCAAACCCTCCGTGAATATTGATAATATTTAAAGATCTTAAGGGTTTAAACTTTGCACATAATCATGAATCATCTTCACACATTAAATAACCCGATTAAATAATACTTCATTTTTTAGACAAAAAAGGTCCCTTTGAGCAACCCCTCTTTTATGGCTAGCGAAGATGCATTGCCAGCTTTACAACCATATATTAAGTTTCAGATCATTTAGTTTCAAATTTACTGCTTTTTAAATGGCCACACTGAAAAGTTGTATCAATTTAGCAGTTTTTAATTAAAGTAAAATTATGTTTGACCCTAAAATCATGTTACATTAGAAATGTTAAGATGTTCACAGAAAAGAAATTTTCTTACCAAAGTCACTTTTATGAAAAATCTGTAAGGGTTCCGCGAAACCCAGTGTCTCGCCTACTTTTGCTGTTAGTCGCAGGCTCAACAAAAATGGGGAAATATTATTAAAAATTTTCTTCTAGATACTATCTTTTGATTGTAAGAAGCTTCTGTTCAAGTTTGGTAAGAATCCAGGATGGTTTATGAATCTAATAAATGTTTTAAAAACTTTAACTGCAGACGGTATGTAATGTTAACTGGCAGAAAAAGTAAGTCTATTTATAAGTAAAATATGGATAAACAGGATATTTTTTTTTAACAAAATTTACTTTTGAATACTATCTTGTGATCATAAACAAGCTTTTGTCCAAGTATGTAACAAATCCAGGATAGTTTAAGAAAGTTATTAAAATTTGAAAAACTTTAACCACAGAGTGAATGTTATGTTAACTGGCAGAAAAACTAAGTCCATATATGAGTAAAATACGGATAAACAGGATTTTTTTTTTTACAAATTTACTTCTGGATACCATCTTATGATCATAAACAAGCTTCTGTCCAAGTTTGGTAGAAATCCAGGATAGTTTAAGAAAGTTATTAAAATTTGAAAAACTTTAACCACAGAGTGAATATTTGTGGCCGCCACAGAGAGTGAATATTTGTGGCCGCCACAGAGGGAATGAAGGATCGCTATGTGTGGCTTTTGTGACAAAAGTCGCAGGCTCGACAAAAATGGAAATGTTAGGTACGTTATGTACATGTATTTCTAGTAAAATCTTTTAAATAAAATTAAGAATGGAAACACTCTTCTGTATAATGGTGGATTTGGGAAATATCCTTTAATGTCATTCTATATTTTGTACTTTGTAAATATATCTGATTCACAAACCACACCACTTTTGGGGAGACACCTAATATATGTGTTGTTTACATACTGGTCCCCAGATATGATCTTCACGATTAATCTCATAGAGATACAACTTGAGAATTTTACCAGTATAAAGATAATAGGATAGAGGTCAAACTGAATTCTCAGGAAGACCTAAAGTAAAGGGGAGGTGAAGTACAGAATTTTAGTAGAAGATAAATCTCTAAGAAGTTTAAGGCACATAAATGTTGAAAAAATATCACACAATCCTATGATTTGAACTTTGCAAAAAAATGCAGTGCATGTGAACTTTCCATTCCAGGATATGATTTTTTATTAAACTTCATAGTAAAAGTGGCACAGTTTTAAGTGTAAAATGAGTTCTTTTCGGAAATTACATTGTCTATATTTACAGAAAAACATCCTATAAGGAATACAATGCATTCATTTTAAAGATGTATAGGGGATTTGAGTTGCTGTTCTTTTACCAAACATCCTGTATTTTGAATAAGTGTTTATTAGAAATCTCTCAAAATATTTGATAAAGTTGTCATGAATATTACAAATAACAAGAGTTTACAATAATAACCTTTTCCAAGAAATATAACAAATAGGAAAATGAAGTAAATCAAATAAAACATATGTTTACTTGGTAAAGTTTTATGTAAAACATATTTCTTTTAATCTTGAAATGTTACAAAACATCCGGTTATTAACATAAGTGACTGTACCTTATTTATTTGTCATAATGTAAACCATATCAAAACAACTGCACTTTTTATTCATGAAAAATGTGCAGTTATGTAAAGGAATTTTGTTCGAATTATTTTCACACATAATATGTCATTTTATAGAATGTGAACTGACTATATATTATATATTTCTTAAGTTAAAGATTTAAATTGAAGCTCAAACTGATTCAAAGTTTATAAAGAAGTATTTTTGTTTCTTCTTTTTTTAAGAACAAATCTTTTAACATATAAATATTTGTATTTAGAAATAAAAAGACACTTGATGAAGAAAACATTGCTATACTTTATCTGACAAAGGAAAGTCAGAGTTAAATATTTGTTACATGATTGTGCAATTGTTGTTAATGTCTAAATTGTTTATATGCTTGTTCAGTGTTTCTAATACAAAATTTAACATATAATTATTGAATCTTAAAATGGGTAAATCAATCTTTTTTGTTTTGTTTATGTCTTACTATTGATTATAAGTCAGCAACAACAATAGTGCATGATAAAAGGATGTCATTTAATCACATCGATATATCATCAAAATTAGGCCACTGACGAAGCTTCTAATCTCAAATGTCTATGTAACATGCTTTTATTAATCTAAACAATCAATTATTACAGTTTGTGCACACTGGTCAAAGGCTTGCAATTTAACAGACAGAATATTCAATTATGTATGTAGGGTAAATAATTCTTTAAAAATAATATTTGTATACAGGTTTGCCCCCAAAAACACATCTTTTAAACAAGGGGCAATAACTCTAACTCACCATGAACAACTAATCCTTCCTCAAGTAGAGCTTGCCATATTCCAACTGCTTGGTTACGAGAATACACCAGAGTACTTTGCTGTAACAACCAATCCACCATTTCTGTACCAACCATGCATCTGCGATATGTTCGTAAATGATATTTCCTATCACGAATCATGTGAGGAGCTCTTGACAGTATCATAGCACGTAAAATGTTGGCTGCTCTAGAAAGTTTCTGTGATGGCATCTATAAAAAAAATGAAAGATTGAAAACTATCCCAAAAATAATATGACAGGTGTTTAATCACTACAAAGGTATTTGAAACAAAAGTTTTACTTAATTGAATGTAAAAAACAATATCCAGAAAATATTTAACTTTTTTTTAAAAATTAATCACGAACAGTAGCTCTTAATATCCCATTTACAAAATTCTACCAGCACTCTCTTACCTTTTTAATGAAATATTTTTAGAAAAATATCCCATAAATAAAACACCTTACAAATAGCATCTATGACATGGATTTATTAATCAGTTTTTCACATAAAATATTCACCAATATTTATCAGAACATTATTTACCAGTATATCCTAAAATGTTCAATGCATTAACTTCAAAAGAAATAAGCAAGTTCAAAAATAAAATTCTTTATGTGGCTTGAACTGCTTCCTTATACTGATGTCAAAATTTGGATGTGCAGGAAATGCTCATTGACATTTTATGAGACATGAACAATATTTATAATGGTCCTGAGTAATGGCAAGTTATCAAAGCAAGACATTATTGAAGCACATTGTGCAATCACTGAGTTCCTTTAGTTTTTGGGTCCTACTAGCTCGTGCTACTTAACAGACAAAATATTCCCTATCTGCACTGATTTTAGAATTCCTCCAAGTCATTGCTGATATAAGTCTATGATATAAATTTCATAAATATCTGGCAAGAATCGTATACTTGAGTGCTTATAATGCAATTTTCCATAGAAATGACATTTTCAAGGGACACACATCCTGTAAATATATTTGATCAGCTCTAATTTTCGAACTTTTCCCAGACCTCCCTGATATAAATCTTTAAATAAATCCTACAAGAACATGAAGAAATGTAGGTTTGAGAGCACTTACAATGCAATTTTCCACATATTTTTTTTTTATATTTCCAAGCGGCATAACTACTTTAATAAATGAGGAATGTGTCCATGGGACACATATGATGCCCCTGCTTGCATATAAAGTTATAAAGGGGCATAACTCAAGAACTGTAAAAGTGACGCTACCCAAATTCGCACTTGATCTGAGTTTTGTGGTATAGTGTATAAGATTCTTAACATTTGGTTGAGGCAAACTTAAGTTGGAGAATGGAAAAGAAAAATTCAGCAATTTTTCCATTTGTAAAGGGCATAACTCTAGAAAGGTAAAAGTGACGCTACCCAAATTCAAACTTGATCTGTGTTTTGCGGTAATAACAATTGTGTTTCATAACATTTGTTTGAGGCAAAATAAAGTTAGAGAACGGAAACCAATTTTGGGACATACAGATGTACTGATGGACAAGGGTAAAACTTAATGCCCCCTCTGCTATGGCGGGGGCATAAAAATGGTTGTTTGGCACTAATTTTTGAACTTGTCCAAAACATTACTGATATAAAGCTTTGATATAAATTTCATAAAAATCTGGCAAGAATTGTACAACACATGAGAGTGTTAACACCACTGGACTGACTCCCAGTATTTCTATGTCCCCAGCATGGAGTGCAACTCAGTCAACAACAAAAAATGTAAACATTGCCCTATGAATACAATACTTATTTTCATTTTTTCAAGTAGCTAGGATTTTTTTCCCTTCACATCACTTTATTTAACTGTGTAGAAAAGATTTGATTTAATTTTCATAATCATCCATCCAGCAATACGAGCATCATCAGAGTGTTAGAAGACATTTTACAGGGCAATAACTTAAAGAAATATTTTCTTTACAGGACTCAAATTAACTCAATAACTCAACTATTACCAATATCACTCAACTGAGATATTGGTAAGAAAAAGCTTCCAAATAAGTTTCAAAGAAATTTATCATGAAATAAAAAAGCAAAGTGGCTACAAGATCTTTTCCAGTGATTTGTTTTTTTAAGGGAAGCAACTCCTGTTCATGATTAAAGTCGTGGATTTTTTTTAAGGTCATACCAAAACTTATTGTCCATTAAAAATAATCCAATCAAATTTTAAAAGTGTGCTTCTATATTTAATTTGAAATCGAAACAAAATATATTATTAAGTATTATCATAGAATAAAAAAAAATGGTAACGGTAATGCCAACACACACATAATTAACAGAGCCTGGTGATGATCAATTTATAGCCTCATAGCTATCATAGAATCATTATGTATAATATAATTAAGAATTATAAAGTAGTTTTTAAGAAAAAACTGGAAATTTTACTAATGGCAATAATCTTTGTTTTCTGATCTGCACCATCTTCGCTAGCCAAGGGTTACGATTCAGTCCCCTCCTCTCCACCCTTGGCAGATTAAGACAGAATTTTGGATCCATGCAATAACAATTTCCATTGGTCACAGTTGTATCTGGCTGCATCCAATCAAAAATTGTGCGTTAATGTAGAAAATGTAAATAAATAATTGCCACGTGCTGACTGTGCAACAAGTCTTACCCCCAAAACATAGGATGATATTTAGTGACAATTCTAAAGTTTGTAATCAACTAATTGAAGTTCCTGGGTATATTTCTCGCGCATATGTTGGAATTTCAATGTATATTTTCGGATCATGCCTCACGAAATTTGTAAACACAAGCCGCAACCATTTTTACACATCCACACTGAAGCAAGTTCAAGTGCTGCCACTGGTCAAGAATGATGTACCGGTAGTCGGAATGGGCATGACTTTTATCTATCGGTAGATGGCGCAGCATTGTGATCACAAATGTTGGATTAATCCGCCAAGGGTGGAGAGGAGGGGACTGGATCATAATCCTTGGCTAGCGAAGATAGATCTGCACCAAATTTACAATTTTCAGAAAGGATTGTCACAGCATCTATTAAAGCTGTTTGTGCACTACCATCTAATTTGATATGCAGATAAGAAGCAAAGCTGTTAACATGTCCAATGTTTAGATTAGTTATAACAGATGACCATATACAGATCATACATACAATTTAACAATCAAATCAGTTCATAAGTTTCTGACTTGAAGATCTAAGATGTTTCAGTCAGTACTGATATGAAATGAAAATGAATTGTAGCATTTTATGAAAATCATAGATTCATGAAACTAAACATATCTACCAAGTATGGTTCCACGTCGGAGAGACAAAGTCATTTACAAATAGTAAAACAAAATGTAATAAATACTGCATATCTGATATACTCCTTGAATAAAGCTGTAGTAAAATAAATCTGCCTCTCCTATTCTCTGTAAAAACAAGTAGGTACAAACCATCAGTTTAAAGTATCCTGATAGCAATTCTAAATCCACTTACAGTTCATTTTGTGGCCTTTTATAGCTATACGGTATGGGGCTTTCTCATTGTTGAAGACCGTATGGTTGCCTAATAATTGCTAACATCCACTTCATTTGAACTTTGGTGGACAGTTGTCTCATTGGCAATCATACCACATCTCCTTATTTTTATATGGTAAACAACAAAATATCCAAAAAAACTAATACTTACAGTAGTGATGGGTGAGGCTGGACTGCTGTGTTTATCATCCAAATTTGAACTACTACCTTTCCTTGACCTTGGTATCTGTGGTGACAATTCATACTGATGTTTGTGAGGATCTGTAAAAAAACAATACCCCCGGTATGTTGAAAATACCTCGCAGTAATTCCAATTAGAAATCTAATGACAATACTGTTCTAGCTTTTGACTTTCACAGCTCGGATTAAAAAGATATTTTTTTCAATAAATAAATGTCAATACCAATACTGTAAATTCAGAAAATATTGTATGCATTTATTATTGTGATTTTTGAAAAAATGCATCCAGATATATGTATCTGATATTATAAAGAGAGTTCTTATGATTGTGATACTTACCAAGTTGCATTATTCTCATTAATACAAACCTCACAATGATTTCTGAATTTACAGTATATAGAAATGACAAGCAATGGCCCTAATTCATGCCACTCTTCTATCATCTTTCTTGGTATATCATAATCATTCTCCAGGTTACTGTTACAGTAACCTTTGTCATCTTTCTTAGCCAAGGGGGACAATCAAATTTTATTTTCCAATTTCACTTATAGAAAACGGTTGGGGAAGAACTGCAAGTGGAAATTTGGGCATGCTGCTATAACCTCGTTTACCATTTAATCCTGTGCTCTATTAAAGACAATCCAAACACATTTTAAAACAATGATGATATGTGTCAAGGAATAAATTACAATCAATTTTTTTGTTGTCCATCTATATCTTTGGAAACAAAATTATAGCTTTTTGACCAGAAGTATAAAAGCATTCACAAATACAAGAACAAGATCTCCAAAGTAATACACTCATACTAAGTTAATACTTTAATCTTGGTCCACTAAGCCCCAGTGTTTGACTGAATAACACTCATTCCTTAAGATTGACCAATGAACCATGAAAATTAGGTCATGGTCAGATGATAATTGCCAGACAGACATATACACCTTACAATCATTCCATACACCAAATATAGTTGACCTATTGCTTATAGTATTAGACCAAAAAACAAAAACTTAACATTGAGCAATGAGCCGTAAAAATGAGGTCAAGGTCAAATAAAACATGCACGACTGACATGTACATCGTAAAATATTTTCATACACCAAATATAGTTGACCTATTGGATACAGTATAAGAAAAACAGTCCGAAACACAAAAACTTAACTTAAACCACTGAACTATGAAAATGAAGTCAAGGTCAGATGACACCTGGCAGTTGGACATGTACACCTTACAATCATTCTATAAACCAAATATAGTAGACCTATTGCTTACAGTATCTGAGATATGGACTTTACCACGAAAACTTAACCTTGTTCACTGATTCATGAAATGAGGTCGAGGTCAAATAAAACATGCACGACTGACATGTACATCGTAAAATATTTTCATACACCAAATATAGTTGACCTATTGGATACAGTATAAGAAAAACAGTCCGAAACACAAAAACTTAACTTAAACCACTGAACTATGAAAATGAAGTCAAGGTCAGATGACACCTGGCAGTTGGACATGTACACCTTACAATCATTCTATAAACCAAATATAGTAGACCTATTGCTTACAGTATCTGAGATATGGACTTTACCACGAAAACTTAACCTTGTTCACTGATTCATGAAATGAGGTCGAGGTCAAATAAAACATGCACGACTGACATGTACATCGTAAAATATTTTCATACACCAAATATAGTTGACCTATTGGATACAGTATAAGAAAAACAGTCCGAAACACAAAAACTTAACTTAAACCACTGAACTATGAAAATGAAGTCAAGGTCAGATGACACCTGGCAGTTGGACATGTACACCTTACAATCATTCTATAAACCAAATATAGTAGACCTATTGCTTACAGTATCTGAGATATGGACTTTACCACGAAAACTTAACCTTGTTCACTGATTCATGAAATGAGGTCGAGGTCAAGTGAAAACTGTCTGACGGGCATGAGGACCTTGCAAGGTACGCATATACCAAATATAGTTATCCTATTACTCATAATAAGAGAGAAATTAAGAATACTAAAAATCTTAACTTTTTTTTCAAGTAGTCACTGAACCATGAAAATGAGGTCAAGGTACATATGACAGACGGAAACTTCATAACATAAGGCTTCTATATACACAGTATGAAAGATCCAGGTCTTCTACCTTCTGAAATATTAAGCTTTTAAGAAGTTTGTTAACCCCGCCGTGGCCGCCACAGACGGATCACTATCCCTATTTAGAGCCTGCGACTTCTAAACTGGTTGAGGTTTTAAAATGTTTTAAGAACAGTTAAAAGACCAATTAGATTTAAAAGCAGATCTTGTCTATCATTTACCACAGATTGAATTTAATTAATCTTGACCATATTGTTATATTTATTTTCCTTTACAAATAAAAACTATATAAGTACATTTGACCTTCCTAGTTTTTAAGTATAAACATGATGTACAACGCCTCTGATTATATATGGATTGTAATGTATGATTGAAATTTGAAATAATAGTGTGGAGACAGCTTACCTCAAATACTTTCAGAAAATAAAATGGTGTTCTCCATTCTCTTATTTTTTATTCATTGCAAAATAGTACTAGTTAATCCAAAGTACAATTTAAGGTGGCCTCCATGACTTTGTTGCAGGGAGACAAAAACTGGTACATGAGGGCTTAGATTTACAACTACATTTTTATAATTAATAAATATACTTACTTGTCCTTGTAAGTGAACTTAGTGGTGTGATCACACCTTCTAATAATGTTTTATTTCTCTGAAAAAAAACATTTACAAATATTAAAATTAAAGTCATAAAATTACAAATAACAAATAAAATTTCATAACATCTTACACTTTATTGTGATATCATAGAAACAATTATCAATATCTAAAAATCCGTCCTTGCTTTTGCACCAATTTGCATTTCATTTTCGCAAAACAAATCTTTCATTTGCACCACAAAACATATTTTATTTGCGCCAATAGTACAGGTAATTTAAATAATATAAATAATAGATCTATATTGAAAAGAGACTTTTAATTATAAAGTTACAACATAGTTCTGATAGCATAATATAACATAGTGATCATCAATCACATTCAGCAATAAACCAAAATGTAAACATTAAACACTGATAAGTTTTTTCAAAATGCTGAGATTGTACTTTTTGCTGGTCTAAACAGTGGTTGACTGTATCATTCAATGTTTTGCTGCCCACATCTATTGTGATTCTGGCTTTTAAACTTTTTGGGGTACATCTATACGACTTGTCTCTATTTTTCAATACATAAGATTTCATAAATGCGAAGTCCTTAAAAATTACAGACGTATTTCCTCCTCAATTTGTCTCCGAATGAATTATGTCCATTTTGTCACCTCCAACATGTGAACACTATACATTTTTATACACTCAGTTTTGTATGAGAAATGAGTAGGAACTCACTTACTTATCCAATGGGAGGATACTCTACAACATTTCTTATACAAGCCTCGTATTCAGGATACAACTTATATTAAAAAGTTTCCGTTAAATTTTACCTGTAAATTGGTGCAAAAACATTATTTAATTATGGCGCAAATGAAATACAACGCAATGGGGCTAATGAAATACTGCATTTTTAAAAGTTGGCGCAAATGCAATGAGCCCCTAAAAATAAATTTGTCACTGACTTATCACAATCAAATATCAAACCTAATTAAGGATTTAAGGATTTCGCAATTTTTATAATACAAAGTGTTGTCTTAAGGATATATATATAATGGATGACTAAATTGATGAATATTCAATTCCCTAGAAAAGAATTTACTCAATAAAAAATGTGTATACTATTATTTTCTCTAATTTTTTCACTATTTTCACATTTCCCAACCGATTGTGAAAAAATTATTCTCCTCACTAGTGAAATATCTGCTTGGCAAATGATTGGTTGAAATTTAATTATGACGTCAAATTTTCTTGGTTTCTTCTGAATTTCCTATTGTGACGTCCTGAAAAAAGGCGACCATGCCCGATGACGTCACATATAAAGAATACAACTTTTTGCAAATCTTTGAAAAGGAAGGATAAAAATCATTAGAGAAACAGATTCCTCCACTATAACTAAGCTCAGCAAGCCTCTCGCTTTAAATATTAAAATTTAACTGTCTCCAGTGGAGAAATATCGTAACACACATTTTGCAGTGGTGGAATCTATATTTCTACATCATGGAGGCAACTTTAAATGAATTTAAAATCTAAATATTTCTTCATTACATATTCAATCAATTTATTACATATTCAATGAATTTATTACATATTCAATTTATTACATATTCAATGAATTTATTACATATTCAATAAATTTATTATATATTCAATGAATTTATTACATATTCAACAAAATTTATTTACATATATGTTGTACTCAACTATAGTTAGTAAATTACAATTACCTCCCAGAGTATCCTAAAATCCTTCTGTTCAATTCTAACAAGTTCTGTAAATTCTTTTGTTACAACTGTTGCCTGTCTTGGTTGGTTTGTCAAAATAGACTCTCCAAATGATATTCCTACACCAAAAGTGCATAATGTTACCTCATCCTGTTCAAAACATAAATATTTTCATTATATATTTGTTTTTGTTTTAGTTTTTGAAAAGTTTTTGTGCAAACTTTGATTAAACTAGAGGCTCCAAGGAGCAGGCATTGCTCACTTAGGGATTTTTCCTTAAGCATAATATTGACACAGACACAGTAATATAATCATGAAAATCAAAACCTACTGACCAATTTAACGATGTTCGCCACTCTGTTTCAAAATAACAAGCTTTTTAAAAGACTGTTACAAATTAATAGTATATAAACAAAAGAACTAAAAAAGCAGAATAAAATGAAGGGTCCGTGTGCTTGTTTTCTAGATATAAGCAGTTGAAAATTTGGCGGGAAATAATTCTCTCTAGGCTTTTCACACTTAACATTGGCACCCTTTTTCTTTCAAAAATTATGAAAAAATAACAAGCATTTTATAGGATTTTCAAATATGGCTTTTTAAACTATATGTAATAAAATAATGAAAAGAAAAGTATGGGTTAGCGGGGAAAATTTTATAATGGCACTACATGGATAAAACCAGAGGATTCCAAATATATGGCAAAAATTCAAAAACAAGAGGAGCGAACATCCTTAAACTGCATTTGGTCTGGTGGAAAATAACCAATGAATATTTATTTTTGATATCAACAACTATGTTGGATTTTGTACATTGATATTTTTCAATATTGGTTATAACTATTCATATTTAATAACAATGGCCATGATGATTGTACATAAATCTTTTTTATATTAAGAATTATACAGGATGTTTGTGTTCCATATTAGTTCCCATTGAGGGGATATGATTTACATTGTCTTATTCTGACAAGAATCTACATGGAACTATGCTTCGCAGTGGTGGTCATCTTACAGTTACAGAAGGATCGTAATTATTTTTTTCTCAGAAAGACTGTTTGTTAATTAATAAATAATAAGTAATACGAAAATACAAAGCGATGACTATGTAACATGTTGAGTTATTTTCTCAATGGAAATGATTTATTTGCCATCAATTTTTTCTTGTGCATTTAAACAACCAACAGTGACAGATTAATAGTATATCTCTACGGATAATCTCATTGATTTTAAATAAAACAGCAGTAATACACATAAAGAATTTGAATGCATTTATTAATCTGATACATTTTCAGCACTGGTATTTATGATTTTTCTTAGAATAAATATATATACCTTAGACAAATATTGCAATAAATTATGGTTGGCTATATGTAAGGATTGAAAAAAAAAAAATTATTTGTCAATACAATTTGTGTTGAAAGACTGACTACTCTCTATAAACTTTAAATCCATTCTGGGAACAGATTGGAAATTATACTTTCTACTAAAATGACTAATACCTTGAAACAAAGGGATTTTAGTGAATTCTTCTCAACAGTATATTAACGCTAACTTTATTCAGTGAGCACTTCAAAAGTTTGTCTATTGTTACTGATATGCTTACTGAATCAATACATGTAAATACAAGCATATCAACTAACAGATATTGCTATTTCTGTTCATCACTAAAAATTTATCACTATTTCACCATATTTACCAGACTATTAATGTGCTATAAAAGAACAATTTCTGGAATGAACTTTAAAATAAAAGAAAGGGTTGATACATGTAAATAGAAACACGGTAAATTTCCTTTCAAATATATTTCTATATGGAAATCATAAACATATCATTTCCAGATTGGTCCTTTCAAGAATTGTTCATGTTTTTTTAACTGAATTTATCAATGGATTTTACTCCTTTGTTCTATTCATATTCAACAAATGATGACAATAATGATTTATTGAAAGGGTTATCTCAAAGTATTTTTACTATACATATAATAGAATCATGGATGCTATAATTATAATTCAATCCATGTTTTTGCTGAGCTTAGAAGTTACAAAATTTGAACATATAGAGCCTTTGAAACAAAAGATTTTTCTTACCTCTTCCTTATTTCCAAACAAACACATCATGTACAAATGTATTCATTTTAATTTTAATTTATTTTTTAATGATGTGGCATAAAAGAGATTTAAGATTACAAGTATATGTACTGAGTTTTTGTTTGTTTGTTTGTTAAAAGCTGCAAAAATTTCACACTTCTTTTTTGTTCAAGGAATGCCCTTGATACTCTGTTCACATTTCTTATATTTTCTGCATCATGAGAATTTAAATGCCTCACATCTGAGTGATGAAATAATTTCTGAAATTTGTTTTTAAGTTACCAGCCTATAAACTTAAATGCTCACCAAAACCTTCACATTGAAAGTCAATTTTTTTTTATATCTACTCTGAAGATTATAAAAAGATAACACTTAAAATGTTTTATATTTTGATATTAATATTATACATGTATTCCTTCTTCTGAATATACTTGATATTCTACAATCAATTTGTTGTGGTTTGCTTGAAAATAAGGCAAAGCGAAGAAATGTTCAAATTTTGTAAGTTATCTCCCATGTAACAGATTACCTACCCTTGGATGACCAGAAGAGGAATACAGAACTTCTACACTTCCAGACAATACCATGTACCAGTTTGTTCCTATATCTCCTTGTCTAAACACTGAAATCAAATAACAATCACATATTTATTTTCAAAAGAATTTTTTGTTGTTGTAAAATCAAATTTATTATCAATGGTAACAATTTTGGGCTGGGGTTTACAATTGTCAAATCCGGATTATAGTAATGTAAATATTGTGTGGGACAAAAAAGAAGGCACCTGTCTTGTGTTATAAACTGCTCCTATAGTTTTGTCTCAGTGTTTCAATCTTTCTAGACTGTTTGTATACACAATGAAAAAATGCATCTCACTTCGTGTGCACATTTGAGGAACTTCAGCTGATTTTCTAGAAAGAAAACTTTTTTAATTTGTAGAAATCTTGATATCCAGGGCCTTTTGTAAAATTGAGAATGGAAACGGGGAATGTGTCATAGAGACAACAAAGCTCTTTATTGTTAGTATTACCATCTAAGAAACCTTTTCACAACAAAAAAAACATAAAGCTATATCTGGACTTGAGATAATTGTTCCCAATAGAATAACACAAAACATATATTTGACTACAATTGATGTACTCAAATTTAATGTTGTTCATGTGACGTCAGGTTCCTAATTTAATACCTTTTTTTATCCTAAATTTTCCAGTGGGTATATATAGCTTTGCTCAAATTAAGCAACCAGATAAATTTGATTTCCATTGATTTCCTATAGGATGTCTTTAGATGTCATTGTATTTTATTATGATTTACTGATTCATCAACTTCAGACATCAGAAAAATTTGAACATGATGCATTCATTTACTATTATCATTACAAAGTGACAAAAGTAAACTCAGAACTTTAAGATAAATAGATAATAATATTGGATTAAATGGAAACAATAGATTTATATTTTAACCGTCTTCTCATTAAAACTGACTTTTCTTCCAATTTAAATTTTAAAACCAAACACGTTTTCTGTTGTGGAACATCTTTTTATCAATTTTTGAACTGAGACAAAAAAATTGCATAAATGATATATATTGAAGGGCTGAAGATCTAAACATAAATTGAAGCAATATGATACTTGTATTACTCTCCTTTATCTACTGAACTTCATACTTGTTGATAGGTCTTTTTGTAGATAGTGTTTTATTGGCAATCCGATTCCATGTTCTTAATTTTATAAAAATTGCATCAAGCAATGGACTATTTGAAATAAAAAGATCTGAGGGAATTTTCTAGTATGAGTAAATAAATGCTTGACATAATAAATGCAGAAAAATATTGAATGTGATCTAATATTATTTAAATTTAAAATTCTGCAGATAATGTTGTTGCAAACCAAACCAAACTGATATTAATCAATTTTTTGAATTCATGTTTAAAATAGTTTATATAAAGTTTAAATGTTTCAAATATGATCAAATATAGATTACCAATTTGATAATTGAGAAGAAAAGATTAATTTTATTCATAGTCATAGCTAATCCAGCTTTAGTTGTGCAACTAATTTGTAAATAATGCTTGATGATCCTTGACATATAAACAGTTTCTGTCTTTCTTTTGAAGTTTCTAGAAAATAGGCAAAAAACACTAAAATTGGTAAAATAATTGTCATTTAAGGGCAATAACTCCTATAGAATGTCAACTGATGGTTTCAGATTTATTAGCATTTTTTTAATATTAATCTTCTTCTACATGTTCTGTCTATCTATAATAGTTGAGCAGAAATGCTAAAATTGGTTAAAATAAATGGGGAATATGTCCATGGGACACAGATGATGCCCCAGCTGCATATAACGTTATAACATTATAAAGGGAAATAACTCAAGAAGGGTAAACGTGACGCTACCCAAATTTGTACTTGATTTGAGTTTTGTGGTAATAAGTATATGTGTATAAGTTTCATAACATTTGGTTGAGGCAAACTAAAGTTAGAGAACGGAAAAGGAAAATTCAACAATTTTTCCATTTGTAAAGGGTCATAACTCTAGAACAGTAAAAGTGACACCACCCAAATTCAAACTTGATTTGTGTTTTGTGGAAATAAGCATTGTGTATAAGTTTCATAACATCTGGTTGAGGCAAACTAAAGTTAGAGAATGGAAACGAAAAATTCAGCAATTTTTCCATTTGTAAAGGGTCATAACTCTAGAACGGTAAAAGTGACACCACCCAAATTCAAACTTGATTTGTGTTTTGTGGAAATAAGCATTGTGTATAAGTTTCATAACATTTGGTTGAGGCAAACTTTAGTTAAAGAACGGAAACCAATTTTGGGATGTACGGACGGACAAGGGTAAAACTTGGGGCATAAAAAGTTGAGTTAATTGATGGTTTCATATCAGTATTTTTGTAAATCAAATATTGCTGAAGTTTTTTGCTACTGACAGTTTGTGTTAATCTATTATGGTTTCATGATAAGGGGTAAACTGCTAATATTGGACAAAAGTTGTTTTTAAGAGCAAAAACTCCTAGGAGTCATCTGACATTTTTGGTGTAAAAATTATGTAGGAAGATCTTGATGATCTGAGCATTTTTGTATCATAATGTAAATTTACAATCTAGACACCCTAGACATTAATCATGTCAAGTTTCATTTAAATTGGTTCAGGAATTTCAGAGAAACAACATTTTCAGAGAATACATTCTGCATGAACATTCCATCTTGGAATAATTCTTATTTCTAGATGAAGAAGTCAGTGTAGCCATTATTTACATACCTTGGCATATCCTGTAGCTCAATATTTATTCAAAAAAGCCAAAAATATGTAAAGTAAAACAGAAAAGACAAATCATACAGAAAAGAAAAACTTGCTTCTGGTCAACTTATTAGGAAAAACCTCAGTAAATATTTTTTTTGGAAAATTAAATAATTAATAAACTATCAATTTCTATTAACCTGTAATACATTAATCCCTATTTGAATGATGGCAATATGCAGCATTTTGTACATTGTCTCATCTTATAGAACAGTTTAAAGAAATTCATAAAACAGGTTCCTATATGTAATAAACTGTTAACACAGAGATATGTCTCACCTATTTGTTATTTTGATAATGCAAATGTTGAAATTAAAATAGCAATACTTTAACATGTAAGTTATGCAAAGTTTCAAAGTCAATAGACCTTGACTGAGGGGGCGGGGCCAAATAATCTCTATGGTAATGAGATGTGCCAATGCTAATACAACTGCATACCAAATATCATTGACCTACCACTAGTGGTTCACCATGAACTAGACCTAATCACAAACTAATACATTGTTGATGCCGCTGCTGCCACCATCGGAAACAGCATACCTATGTCTCGCTTTTTGACTCTGTCAAGGCGAGACAAAAACCTACATGTTACTCCTTTGTCCAGGTCCTCGTAGTAACCATAGCAACATATTTCTTGAAGCAGGGACGACTGGAATTTTTCAAATGCTGGAATACTTTTCAGCTTAGAGAATATAATGTCTACATCTTCACCAGTTCTATCTATTGGTCTGGAAATATATATATATATAATAATTCGTCAATATTTCTGATCTTGTATTTCTTACCAATATTTATGAATTTAAACGATTGTAAAAAAGAGACTTGTTAACCATGTAGGTTAGAAGGATAATAAAGAAACTGAAGAAGGCCAGTGGCAGAAACGTTTTAAAAAAAAACATAAATAAAATCATGTAAAATGTGTTCCCTATTGGAATTTCTACACAAGAATATTTATGAAGTGAGTTCCCAATATTTTTTATAGCTGACCTTAATCTCATATTTATACTGTTTTTCTATACATATTACAGTTTAATGAGATTCTAATTACAAACATTTTACTCAAGCTTTATTCTATTCTTTTTTAAATTCCATAAAAAATGCAGTTAAATGTCAGTATCCTTTTAGACTTAGTAAACAGATCTGTTTGTGATATATAACTACCTATTTACAACATTTATCAAATATGAGACCAAATCAATAAATTTGTGTTCTTTGGGTCATAGGGAGACATAAATACGATAATGTAATTGAAAATTAACTGTGCAAACGTATAAAGGTTAAGCTTTTTAAATACTTCTTTCAAATAGCAATATGATAAAAACAAATGGAGAATGTGTCCATGGGACACAGATAATGCCTCTTCTCGCATGTAACATTATAAAGGGACATAACTCAAGTACGGTAAAAGTGTTGCCACACAAATTCAAAAGATCTGAGTTTTGTGGTAATAAGCATTGTATATAAGTTTCATAATATTTGGTTGAGGAGAACTTAAGTTAGAGAACGGAAACCGATTTCGGGACCAAACGGATGGACCAATGGACGGACGTACAGTACAGACAGACAAGGGTAACACTTAATGCCCCCTCCACTGCGGCAGGAGCATAAAAAAATGTCATTGCAATTCTGGTTTATCTGGTATCAAGCAGCAAATAAAAAAAAATTCAGTTTAGTAAAGCCTAAATTTCTATGAGTTTTGTATAGCCTAAACTTTTATATCTGCAATCTGATTAAAATACAGAGTGTGTCCATGCTTTGCTCACAATGATCTGATAACGCTCTGATTTACTTTCTGTTCTAGTGATTATCACATAAGCCAATGAAATGTCTGCCTCCATATTTTTTGAAGATGTGTATCATTATAACAAAATCATAGGATCCCCAAAGGTCTTTAAGACAGAAAGTAGAGTCTTGTCTGATCCTTGTAAGCAAAGCAGTGTGGATAAAGTATCTATATTTCAATCAGATTACCATATCTGGGAATGTAAATCTTTTTGGTACACAACCTGTAAGTAATCTTTATTTGTATCAGTTGAAAACATTTATTCATAGCTATATCCATTACTGAAATGACATTAAAAGACCTACCTTTTATCAAGGCATGCAATCCATTCTGATACCATCCTGCATTACTTCTAAGTTCTACAAAAGAAAAAAAGAGAATAAAATAACTTGTTTCAACTCTTGACATTTTACAAAATCTTTAACACCCAGACTAAATAGATCACTAAGATACAATGTCAATTGTAGGCATAAAAGACCCGTTCTATTTAATAACAAGGAACTCAGTCAAAATGTTGATTTGATTTTGATAAAATTTTGATAAATTGTTATTTGCCTAACTGGTGCTAGCAAGACACAAGATTTACCAAACTGATACAGACAATGTTTTTCATAATAGTCCAAGATTGGCAATTTTCAATGGATTGTTTCACTTTCAAATGAAATATTCAGACAAACTGACAACATAATTGTAATTGGTAACCTAAAATTAACACCAATCCAATACTTCCGCGACAAGTCAGAAGTTTTTTGGTTCCAAACATGTTTTTGCACTTTGAGGAAATAAACATAGTTATTAAATGAAACAATTTCAAAGACAGTGTTAAAATCTTTAGATCAAGAAATTGGTAAGGGACTAAGAGTCTACTTTGTGTAGAGGAGAGTGTAATAAATGATCTATTAACTGTCCCGACAGAATACAAAGGCAAATATCTTATTTCTGTTGATTTATATTACCAAAGAGAAATAGAACTAGTTTAGCAGAGTAAAGCTGCCTGTTATTGTAACTTACATAAAACAGAATCAAGACTTTCAACAACAAACATTTACAGCTGTTTTACAAGACTTTTTTTAATCCTTTGAACTTTCTTTCAATTGTTAAACACTGTAAATTTTTCAAAATAACTTTTTTAAAAGTTAAAATTGGGGAATTCCTAAAGTCTAAATAACATAGGCGAATTGAAGGGCCACCTCCTTAAGTTGCCGAGTTTGGGGCCCCCTTTTTCAAAGTCCTGGATCCGCATCTGAGTAAGTCTTTTAAAATACTTTACTGACAGGTTACACTATAACCTTACAGTGACCAAGAGAGATCAAATCCAAACTTTCAACAGCCTCAATTGTAAACATTTGTAAATGATAAAAAAAATCAAACCCTCTACCTCCTTACTTAGAAATCCTATTCACGTTTTTTATGGTTATTTGATGTCTGACTATATCAATCTATTATTTAATTCAGAATAAGGAAGTAAATCAATAGAAAGCTTGATTAGTCCATGTAATCTGAAATGACCAACAAGTAATGGTCACTACTGTCCTTTGTATAATCTGGTCAATCAGATTACATCTTCATTTGTATATATAAATTGGTCAATATGTTTTGATAGAGTCATGTTAATATTGCTTTTTCATCTCAGAAATGTCCACAGTGCGATTCATTATGTTTTCAGTATAAATCAATTTAATTGAAGACTCCACATAGCAGGAACAGAATACACTATATATTGGATACTCCTATTAATGTCATTAAGAATAATTAATCCCCTCAAAACAGGTATATCTCAATAGTTTTAACCTGTATTATTATACTCCCTATAAAAAATCATCTTTTGAAAAAAACAGAGATCTTTGTTTTTAATTAAAGCAAGACTTATATACAAGAAGTTGGACAATTATTTAAAATGTACATATATTATCACATATTTAGCAATAATATGTTTAAATGACCATTATCATCCGTTAAATTTGCGGACTTATTACAAGTAATTGCCCTCAAATTTCAAAGCTAGTCATTGTCTTTTACTTTCAGTTTTGAGTTTTCAGTTGCAGATGAAAAGCTTTTGGGAATACTAAACAAACTACTAAAACCTTGTAAAATAAATATCTTTAAGTCAGTGTTGTCTCAATACAGATGTATACCTTCTAAAAGTGTCAATGCTTTTAATTTGACATTTTGGATGGTGACCCTATTGCAATCTAATCCCCCCAAAAAACTACAAGAATGGACTTTGACCTATAATGGTTTACTTTTACAAATTGGGACTTGGATGGAGAGTTGTCTCATTTGCACAAATACCACATCTTCTTATATCTATTGAAGGTTATGAAACAGTATAACAAAGAACCAAAGCATACGAAAACACAACAGACATACGTAACAATGACTGTTCTTGGCACAGTTGAACATGCTTTGAGAGACCATTTCTTATGCAGCTGGGACCATTACAAATCAGAATTTTAAAGAATTCTCTGAAATAGCTGTTTTTTTGGGGGGTATTTTTATTTAAAAAATCGAGCATGTTGTAGATTTCGATGTTTAACTTCACAAATTATCTCCACCAGACTTTCAAAATACAGTGACTTATAGTGCTTATTAGTTATATCCTCTTTCCTTTGTCTTTTGTAGAAAGTTGTCTCATTGGCAATCATGCCACATCTTCTTTAATTTTCATACTGTATAGTATATCCCTTAAGTTACAGCAGCATGGCACAGAAATTCTTGAAATTTATTTAATCATAAGCTACACCAGCATTGCAGCTAGCAAAGAAAACTCTTTTTATTTCTTAAATCATGCTTAACTCATAATATTCCATATATTATAAGATAAAAACAGTTTTTATAATTCCTAAATTATAGATTACACAAGGATCTGAGCTCATACAGAAAACATTATATATGTCTTAAATCATAAACTACACCAGCATCTAGCACAGAAACTTAAAATAGAACTTAAGTAATAAGCTAAACAGGAATAACATCTAACTCAGACAACATTTTATATTATTAAAAAAACAAAACATCTTTAAGTTACTTAAAATTCTGGACAGACCTAATCAATTTAACTGATCAACTTGTATTAAATTAAATCAAAATAAGGGTTCATAGTTTATGGAGAATTCCATGAAAGGTTTCAATAACATATCAACTTACCACAGTCAATTATTTAATCAAATGTCCCTCTGAAATTTTAATTCAATAGTATAGAAATTGTCTATCTCTAGTATGAAATAATTGATCTATACACTTAAATCCAAGCATAAAATTTAACAATAATGTTCACTTTTATTTTGAGAAATCAATTTGTTAAGTTAGTTTCATCAAACTTCAACAAATGAAAGCTACTAATGCCAGCTAGTATTCACAGCTTTTGTATTGAAATTGTATGGTTATTCTAGACATTCTAAATTAATTGTGTTCATTTTCAATTTGTCATGTTAGGTTACAAGTATAAATCTAAATTTCTTTTATTAGCAAAGTCTTTCAGATTGAATGGTATGGTCAAGAATGACAACAGTGGTTAAGTGGTCAATCTTGCAAGTCAATAGCAATAGGGATTCAATCATAAACTAGAGGCTGCAAGAAGATTGTATTTTTCCATTGGCTTATGTATTAAAGTGTGCTATTGTCAAAATACTCTGCAGCAAAATTACTTTGTTGATTATTAAGGACTATAATTCAAGCATACATGTATCTATAACAATTTACTCTAACATTGCAGTAACCTTTGGAATCTATTTTTTTTTTAAATTAAACCCCATTGGGTTCAATAGGAAACTATGTGACACAAAAGCCACCATACGATCATGGGCAGTGGCATACAAAACAACCAAATGAGAACGAGGAGAAAGCATGGAAAACTAATTTAAATTCGATTGCTTTTTTATACTTACAGAAATAATAAAACATTTAATGAATTGGAAACAAAATAATTTCATCTAAGTATATCATTTTCAAATTGAATGGAAATAAAATTGAGAATGGAAACGGGGAATGTGTCAAAGAGACAACAACCTGACCAAAGAGCAAAAATGACTGATCCACAAAGTTTTAAAATAAAAGAAATCCAAAGCATACATTATTTTTGGAAAGAGATTTTCCCTGCATGTTTCATTTCCAGGGTTAAAATCAGAAAGTCATTGAAACCCATTGAATTTAAATATATTACATCATTATTCCAATGAATTGCAGGTAATTTTGTAACTATATGACAATACACTAGCTTTAGACATAAAAGAATATTACTTTTGGTTAAGAAAGTTCATCTTAATCATTTTTTTTTATAAATATTTAAAAATTTAATATATTAACTGAGACTATTAAAGGGGCATTAGCTGTCAAATTCAAGTTCACCGATTCTACTCAAATTCTCATATTTGATTTATAAACATACTAAAACTTATATCCAAATAATAAAAAGTCTAAAATAAACTATTTACGATGCACGGTTTCGATAATATGTATCAGCATTTCGTGTGTATTTTAGTGTCGACTTCATCTAATTAACTATCGAGATGACCTCCGTAGAATGCCGACGATCCCGATATAAACATAAACATAGATATAAATAGATAGTGAACTCGTGCAATTGGATTTTTCTAGGTCTGTTTGATTTCATATTATAGGTTTAAAAAATATGTTAATAATCGTTTTTACCTGTATGAGAATGAGTATTTGTTGATCGAATCAGTCACCCAAATGGTTTACCCTTGTTTCACTTCCTATGTTGACATTCTTTTCTTTTTAATAGCTTAACACACCTAGTTCATGTGTAACCCATCTCTAAGTAAGGGGTTCAATTGAAGTTCAAATGAATACAGATTTAATGAGGTCGAATTATTCACTTGCAAGTGAATAATACATTAACGATGTTTCTTTGCTTATTTTGACAAACTGGCTGCTAAAAGCGAATTATTATATCACTATTTCAATTTCATTAATGATTGAACAAAAAAAAAATCACATATTTTATTTTTTTCTATATCTCGTAGCTAATGCCCCTTTAAAGGAATAGGCAAAGGATAACATGTTAGCGAAAACAAACAGACATGTTAGCGCCAAAGTATATCCCACTTTAGTGACAGATTTAATTGTCTACCCATTTTAGCAAAAAAATAACATTATCAATGCCAAATTAATATTTTGAGTGAATATCAGTTTATAACATTTAAAAGAATTAGATTATGCCTAATTGAAAATAACCATTTTCATGATCAGTTTTATATTTTTTCAGTTTTAATCCAGATAAATGTAGTGAGTTTATGAAATTATATGTGTATTTTTTTGTTTGTTTCTTTTTTTAACTAACTACATCTCCTGATCTATATGTTTCACCACGATAAAGCCTATTATGGTGAGGTGATGT